ATTTTTATAGATATTAATTTTTTTTAATACAAAATGATATTACATATAAAAATATATAATATAGATTTTATTATTTATTTCTTAATATATAGTAATTTAATTAAAAATATAACATATCAAATAAGATGGAAAATATACTATTTTTAAAATGGCAAGTAATATATATAATTTTTTACTTCATAGAATTTTATATTTCATGTTTTGAAATACTAATAATCGTAATAAAACCGATAAATTGAAAAATCAGATCAAATGTTTTCTTTTATTCTAAAAATGAATTTAAACTTTAATGAAATAATTTTTTTTGATAATAAAAATAAGAATTTATATAAATATTTTTTATCAATCTAAATTACATATATTTTTATGAGTTTTTGATTCAAATCTAGTTATATTAAAATATAAATTTCAAAATATATAAAGTTTTATAATACAATATATATCTATTATTTATTAGATCTTATTTATGACGACAATCTGTATTATATCTCATTCATGATTGTATACCCACGAGGTATAGACAACAGACAAATAGTCATGTGTTTTCATGCATAATAATCTAAAGTGGTATATAAACGTGTATTTCTTTACTCTGATGTCGATAACAATGCAAATTTCTTTTATCTATTTAGAGACAATAATCTGCAAATGTCTATAAGAAAGATTTTGAGATAATAAAATCGATATTTTATATACACGTATAACAATATTACTGTAAACTTTTTCACTAATCTCTATAACTACATTACGTTAAATCAATTTAAAAATATTTGCATATTTGGTTTTTCAAATAATTAATTCGATTCTATACGTTTGTATATTATGACATAGCAGATTTCTTCTAAAAACAAAGGTAATTTAATTTTTCAATGTTTATCATTAAAATTTTGCAATAATAATAACATGATCATTAATTTTTTTCTTATAAAAAAATGTTATATTTTCTCTTCTTATCATATATCAATATCATGTTATATTAGTAATATAAATGAATATATAATTTTTAAAGAAATTAAATCTTTTATTTGAAATTATATTATTTTTATCTAT